ATAGAACATGATTTCTTGGATATCAAATGAGGATAAGTGACCGTGTGATAATATCAGGTATGAATATAAGTGACCGTGTGATAATATCAGGTATGAATATGAGTATAAGTGACCGTACGATAATATCAGGTATGAATATGAGTATAAGTGACCGTGTGATAATATCAGGTATGAATATAAGTGACCGTGTGATATCAGGTTTATTAGTTATTTGGTATCATTAACTTTGATTCATTTGAATGGTTAGAACCTTCAGTAACTTCCGAAAAACTAAATGATTTTCATTTTATTATTTAAATTTATATAACTGATAATAGTTGATTGTCGGTTTGTTGATAGGTTACATAATGGTTGAGATATGAGAATTCACCCTCCGGTTGAGCTAAGGATATGCTGCAGGGAATATTTTTAAGCGAAAGGAAGGAATATTGTCATCCGTTTGTCGTTCAATGATGGCGGATATGCGAAGAGGATGTTGTAGTTTGCTTGATTGTAAAAAACTACCAGTATAGGATTTTTGGGAAGGAGCTTTTGTATGCTTACTGGGGTTATCATGGAGATATGGCTGCTCTTTGACATGGTCCATAGTGCAGTCATGGATAGGTACTGAGATATCTTTGTGACATCCTCATCATTGTTACCTTATATTCTCTTCATTGCCTTAATTTTACTTACAGGATTTGATCATCCAGTCTGATAGATACTGTGGAAATTTCAGTTGAACGTAGCCTTAATTTCGATGATCCGATATTCGATAGGAAATTGATTGGAAATTTTTTAATGCGATATTGGTATTGATAATTCAATTATGGATTCGTTTAATGCGATTGTTTGATTAATTGGTTGATTGATTGATTGATTAAATGTTTTTTTTTCTCAAAGAATAATTGAACTACATCTATACTTTCATATAAATTAATGGCAACTTTCATATTTTAAATGGCACTTAAATAAATTAGTACTATTATATCACAGTCCATTGAAGAAGGCATTGATAACTCGTATCATCTTATGTTCAAATGATATCTATGTATAATTGGTAGATTCTAATTAAGCTTAATTACTATCGAACATTTTGATTGGTTCTATTTCAATTGTTAGATGAAGTATTTATGCACCTAACGGAAATGATTTTTGTAATTGGTAAAAAAAAAAATTTCGAAATGTTGAGATGGAAATTTTTCATTGGTTTGCAGAAATTTCATTTTCAAATTTAAAACTATGAAATGGATGGTGGGAAAGCTTGTTACTCCCTGTGGAGGACGAAGAAGAGGACAGTTTTGGATTATTCTATGGGAAAGTATGGCGATGTTTTAATTCATCTCACCTGCTACGAATGTGTTTTCTTCCATCATTTTTTGTGGGATTATCAATGCAATCATATTTTTCTAGCAAGATGGGATAGAAGACATAGTCATTTACATAGGGCGAAAAGAACATAAGAAGAGGTAAATAATATGATTAAAGATTGAGAGTTCCACTTAGAGACTGCTGATATGAATGATATAGTGCTGATAGTATGTTTTTAAAGATAGAGCGGAGAGTGAGGGGTAACATTTTTCGAAGTAAGATTGAAAGAGGGGAAGATAAAGTGTGAAAATTGATGATACGCTAGAAGTTGGTAAGATAGGAGATCATTATAACGAATTCCCGTACAATCATTGTTACTAATGATTAGCTTGATCATAAGCATATACAATTATTGATCTGTCTTTCTTTGGTTTATTATTACCAGTAATTTGATACTGATAGAGGATGACAATAATACAAAAACAACTTTTAAATAAACACTGTTACAACTGAGATGATGACACTGAATGGAAATATATCAAGTTTGGTTCGAATGATTGATTTGCAACTGATAAGGTGGCCGATACCTGTTATTAAAAAGAAAAACAAGCGGAAATATAAATTGATATTCGTCATAGATTTATTAGCTGTATAATGCATCACCATCATTGGTTTTGATTATGATCAAATATTTTGTAAAGTATTTCAGGTCGAGATCGAATTCTATCCCGATTATGCATGCAGTACAAATTGGTAGGTCTACTGTGGAGTTTCCATTCGAACCATATGAGTGCCAGATTAAATTTATGGAAAAAGTTGTGGAAGCTTTATGGACGGTGTGCTTTGTACTTTATGTTTTAATTATACATGATTAATTATATCTTTTTTTTGTACAGTGACTGACAAATTGTTGCGGACACATTGCTGCTGAATACGGCAAGAAATTGTAAGTATATAAGAGAAAATTATCATTAATCAGTTAAATATGCTTATTAAATAAACTCGGTTCTGTAACTTATAGTATTTGGCTGTCCACTAAATATTATTCCCAAATATGATGAGCTATCGTTTATTAGATACATAATGATAGGTTATTACTTATTAGATCCTCTGTAATAAATTATCCGTTACCAATGTTCTTTCAAAGTGGTAAGCTATTACCAAACATTCTATAAATGTTATTCCAAGTTGTAAGGAATTATTATGTTTCCAACCGTAATTATAAATATGTCAGTTATATTGAAAAACTCTGGTTTATGATATTAAGGACTATATAACCAAAATAGCGGGATGAATTATCGACGATTTTACTTGACACAATCATAGTTTTCAAGTGTTAAATTTCTGTAGGTTTAGTATTTTGCTACTGTTATAGTGAAAATGATTATTGTTTAGCTGTCAAGCAATTTCATTTACAATCTCTTGAACTAGAGCTGTTTGATTAATTGACTTTGATAGGTCTTATTATTTTTGAAGTCCGTAAACGCAATGTTAATAGACTTCAGATTCAATATTTTTATCGAAAATAAAAAATATATGGTCATATAAGAATTTGTCACTTTGCAGGGACAGAACGCAGCATTGGAATCGCCAACCGGAACCGGCAAGACACTATGTTTATTATGTGCTGCCATTGCATTCTTGAAAGATTATAAATCAAGGATATCTCAGATGGACAGTATCATGAAATACAAGGTCACTGTTCCAGCTTTACTGTAATCTTGTTTCTAAAATAATAACGCAGTATAAAACTATTTTATGTGCAGTAGAGTTTTAGTCTTTCGTACGTTTCCATGTTAGTTTGTTTTTCCGATTTTTCATACTTCGTTAATTAACTGAAACACTTTCTTTGTCATATTAGAAACAAATGACTAATACAATGTGCACATTTCACAGTTGCTTAAATTCCTGTGAAGTTTTAAATGATGCATCGCTGAAGAAGATATTTGGATATACAATATTGTAAACTGTTTGAAGGATGATTGAAAGATGATTTTATTGACAGGTACATCTTCTAGATCACATAACCCAAAAATTCTTTACGCATCCCGAACCCATAGTCAATTGGCGCAAGTAATCAGTGAATTAAACAAAACAACCTACAAGGAGTAAGTTTCTTGTGCTGAATTATTTTTCAAAATTTTAAACTTTTAGCCTTACTCATTGAAAACTAAATTTCAGATTCTTTTAATCCTTCCTTTTGACACTTTGCGGTACAAATTTCTGGTTATTTGTCCTGTTCCTCATGCAAGATTTTTAATTTAAAACAGACGCAGAGTTTTCGACATTGATAGCTAATTGGATCTTTTTTTTGTATGTTAATTTCTTGCAGCTATTAGAAACAAAGAGTAGTTCTTGCCATGATATCATTGTTACTTCTCTAGTCTTTTTCCCTTATGTATTCTTAAATAACATCCTTTTTTCATCACAGAAAAAACTTTCAAGCTACCTTTGATATTTTCAGCATTAAGACCGTAACTTTGGCCTCACGTGATATACTTTGTATCAATGATAAAGTGATGAAAGAAAATAGTAGTCATGTCAAATCGCTAATGTGTAGAAATTTGATCAGCAAGCATCAATGTCCATTTTATAATTCTTATGAAAGTATGTTTTTGTTCTCTCTTTCTTTATTTACTGGTTTTTCACTTACTGGTTTTATCAAATATTGGGAAAAATTTCACTATTTAACGAAATTTTTGTAGTAGTCAAAAGCTTTTTTGCACCATCTTCCCGAAAATTTATGATGACAAATCCGCTGCCTACTATAGTATGTGCCGAATACATGAATCCTCAATGAAACTGCCCGTGTTTCAACATTTTCAATTGAAAATCTTTGTATTTTTTTTTCAATGTTCCAGATATTTATGATTCTGTTTTCCTTTTAAACTCTTTCAGAATACTCATCATTTCTGGAAATCCTGAGCTTCATTTGTTCCAAATTTTGTTCTTTCAGCAATTTTTATTTATCTTTAAAAAAATGTTTTTAGAAGCTGATCCATCAACATTGGATTTATTGTATAATGGAAATGGATTGGTTCCAGATATCGAAGAAGTCATCAATATATCTCAGAAGCATAGGTATATCAGATTTTTTCGTTTGGTCTTATCTTTCATTTTAGGTTGGGATGCCGGGGCATATCAGAATTTGTTTTATTCACTCGATTAAAACTTACCATGCTTGAAAAACAGGTCCGTACTTCAGGTATTGTCCGTATTTCCGGAATCGTACAGTGTATGAAAATGCTGATCTCATTCTTTTGCCATATAATTATATCGTTGATCCTTCCTTGCGACATAAGCATAACATTCAACTGAAGGGGAATATTGTCATTTTCGATGAGGCACATAATTTGGTAATTATTCTTGTTCAAAAATATTTTCGTACTTACCAATAATTCGATAACACAGTTGCAGAGCTAATACTTGACTTTTCTTGAAATAATATTTTTGGAAAACTTTGTGAGTTGTCAAAGAAAATAAGAATTAAAGCTAATTATATATGGAAATTTTTTATACAGGAATCAATTTGCGAAGAGTCAACTTCAGTATCGTTTTCAACTACTCAAATAAGTGCTTGTATAAGAGAAGCAAAGAAAGTTCTGGAAATGATAATAAGTGATGAAGAGGAAGTTCGGATAAAAATGGCATGTATTTACTTTACTTAACACCATTTACTTACTTGACATCTTTATGTTTCTGATGGATTTCCAGCAAGAATTTTCTATTAACCGTCCTACTTACAAACTTAGAATGCTTTTGAGTGTATTTCAATAAAGTTTTGAGGGCAAGATTTTGTTGTCATGAATGGTAACTGACAAATGCTTCAAGTTACAAACACTTATTCTACGAAGTTTATTGTTTCTTTCCCTTGCTCTTACTATTATCATAACCGATCAGATCAAACTCATCTTTTCATATTTACATCATCTTTACTGTTTCATGCAACTAATTCTTTACTGTACAGACAGCTTTTTTTCCTATCTTTATGAAAATTCGTTAATATTTCGTTAATTCTCCATCTGAAAATGTTGCGTCTACTTTTGCAGAAATATTCATTTTTTACAGGATAATGCGGCTGTACCATTTGGTACCGAAATTCAGGAAACAAATGAACCAAAAATTGAGAAGAACGACGTAGCTTACCTACTTGGTAAGCATAATTTGGTCCATAAGCTCATGTGTTTGATTCACGTGGATTCTTCATTTTAGTTTTAAATTAATATAAATGTTACTTTGGAATCTAATTCTATATGTTCATTCTACCTATGTTAAGGATTATTTAGCTGACAATTTCTGTTCAAAAATTTCTGCTACTGAGTTCAAGTCATTCTCGAATCTAATTTTAGTTGAACTGAATCTACACTGAACCAATGTTTTAGCATCTTTGCATCAATTCGAAGATGCTGTAGATGTTTGCATGAAAGACAAGGGAGAGAAAATAATTGGAATTGATGGTAAAGTTTATCCGGGCGAAAAAATGATTGAATTACTATCGAAAGCAGGATTTCGGAAGGATATGAGAGAAGCAATATCATTGACTGTTGATAAAATTGGACAGTATCTCACAGCAAAAGGTTTATTATTTCTATATCTTTTCACATTGTGTTTGCAACATGAAATGTTGATTTTATTGTTTTTTTTCTTTTTTTGCGCTTTCCATTTTTTAATATCCTAATTTTATTGGTGCAGAACAACTGAACAATGAAATGCGTTTTCAGTGCTTATTCATATCACTTTATTTCGGACTGAAAATTGTAACTTTCATGTAAACGAAATTTGTAGCACAAAATGAGTCAACTGGAGAGTTTGTCGAAAAAGGAGTTTATCTTCAAGAATTCTCATCATTCATTTCGACTGTTTACGCAGATAAACACGCTTCATTAGAGGTATTGGGTAGTTCGACAAGTGCAATGAGAAATTTGGACAGAAAGGTCGCAGATGTCAGCAGCGCGAAATGTTTTCAAGTATGTTTCGCAGTAGCTTGTATCAATGTTATGTAGTAAATTGAGCGCAGCACTTCGTTATCTTTAATAAATTGAGCGCACCATTTCGTTGATTATTTTAATATGCTCCAAATAACGAAATTCATATGTCAGAAAAATGTCTTCCGATACATACTATATCATAGCAGCATTGCACGAAATAGATGAACTAGTCATTTGTGATCCCCTTGATACATGTACCGGTGAGACTGTTGGTGGTTTTTTCTTTATTCACTTGATCTGAAGTTACGAAGTTTTGAAAGTTTTCAGTTTGTAATCGTGATGTATTTTAGCTTTACGTAACAGAACATGGTTCAGTGATAACGCTGAATTACTGGTGTTTTTCACCATCAGTTGCAATGTGGTTAGTCACTTTTTCATTATCGATATCTAACCTTATCTAACTTTTTCCTTAAATAAATATGTTTGACTATCAGAATCATGCGATTCATTTAGCTCAGTGATCAGGCACTTGGCATGCGTGATTACACCGCTGCATGTGAGGATGTTTTAGCATCTTACAGTGATTCAGCTATTTACTGATTAGGTGATTAGTCTTTAATTTACTGATATTGGAAATGTTTGAGATTTTTAAAATTGTTTTGTATGAATTGATATAAATAAGGAGCACTTCCTCGAAATCATTTC